TGGTCCAGATTGTTTAATGCCATTCCAATAGAGTCATGCTGTGAACACATGGTGCGTTTTCACAAGGCAACGGCGTCCATTTGGAGCGACACAATTAGGGCAGGTGCGTACAGGCTCCCGGTCGCGATGTTTGTTTTTTCTGTGCCACATATTTTCTATACTTAATTTAACGTACTGGAAGAACTACGTACTACATTATACTCTACATGTATAATGTATCCTGCATGTATTATTCGTGATCTTCTGTGCACATCTCTATACACCCATAGTGAATAATTATGTGGTATGGGAACAAAAAAGCGCCACCCAGTCCGACTATACCCACGGCCAATGAACGAGGCATTTAAAACAAAATGCTATGTACTAATCTTGCCGGTAATATATTATAACAGGCACCTGAATTGGGTAACAGCTTAAGCGTTATTATGAAAGTGTCGTGGGCACAAAAAGAAGGGCAAAAAGAGAGTTGGATCAAGTTGGTTTGGGGAGTGTAGTGAGAAAGGAAAGGGGTTTGTACTGAAGATATCCGTAGCTCGAGTCCCAAAGGATACATAGTTTCCTGCTGGCAAAAATCCATTTTGCAAGTAAATTATATTTACTGCCCGTGTTTGCAATCTGAAAGTTTGTTTTATTTAAGGGAAGAAACGCTCACTTCAACACGCTATCGACTAGAGCCTTATTAGCATGGCACCTATTTCACATAATACATGTACGATGTCCTAAATATTGACGCTGTGCTGTAAAACCCCCGGTTTAGTCAGGCGGTGGGTAGACAGATCGGGTGGTACAGGTTGGCGTGCGAAGTCTGAACGGTGGCTTTCCACGATGTGCGATTCACTCGATGCTATCTGCAATTTACGTATATACGGGCCACGACTCACGTGGAAAACTAGCCCATGATAGGGCGCCTTAAGGGCAGAAGACAAGTTAGAAATAGAAATGTATGAGTTGGTTCCCTGCCCCATAAAAAAACAACAAATCTCGACACCTCTCTTATGCATGGACGGGTAACATATGCCGCGGGATATCGTGAGGTCCATTTGAACATACAGAAAAAGCCAAAAGTTTCCAAAAAAAGTTTTGCATAAGCGGCAATACGTGCTCCAAATAAAATGTAAGAAATATTGCACGTAACTAAATCAGAGGAGTAAAAGGCGATTTATGTAGATTTGAGAGCATTTCCAATTATTAACATCAAAAGCTAAAAATCTGCGAAAATAAATTCGGAAAATTTCGGAACCTTTTGATCTTGGAACCAGACTACAATTGAAACAGTCCCTGCCTCGTTTCCCTTTGCAATGGAGGGAGTACTTGCATACACTGAGAGGGCACATGCGATAACAAACCAATATGGCAATAACTTTTCAACTGCGCCAGGACAATGGCTGTTTTTACATTTTACGTCATTTAATAGTGATCGTGTATAATTATATTCAAGGAATGTGTAAAATCCACTCTGAAGTCTAAAAGTCACTAGTTGCCCGTGGCAAAAACTTTCATCAAAAGCTTAATGTGAGAGACGAGAGAGCAAGTACGGAATCCAACCACTGCCTTGAATTTTGCATTTTTGAAAAAGTGAAGTGTATATTTTTTTAACGTGGAGTAAATTTATGGAGGTTCATTTTTATGATATATATCTTTTCCAAGTTCTTAGGCACGATGTTTTTAAAACTACAACTCGTTAAAATGAACTTGTGAAAAATATATCTCACACAGACGAACTTGAAAAATATACCTAATTTTTTGAAAATGGCATAAGTGGGCTTTCGTAAGAGAGACTGATTCCAGTATAAAACGTTTCCGCAGGGAACGTCAGTGAGAGACGGTAATCATATGGTACGCACGTGCACGACGCACGCACTGAATGTCAGACAGCCGTGTGATACAAAACCTATTTCTGACGGACCAAAAATAGGCATGCTGTCTTTCTGCTTTCATGTGTTTCGACCTTGCTGCGGATTAAGCGAGGTGTTACTTGAAAACTTTTCAGATCAAATGCTGGAACTTTTTATCTGTACAACAGCTCACTGTTTTGCACAGGAAATTGAAAGTCAACAAAACGGAATTCGGCGAGATGAATCCGTTTACGGATCCAATTAGTCACTGACTTCACTTTATCCTCAAACATTTATTTCGCTCTAGTATTGCTCCATCGTCTGATCTTTGAGCGGCCACAAAATTTATCCTTTGACCAAAACACATTTTCTAGGTTAATGTAACAACCAATGACCTATGATGTCATAAATCCATTGTCAAGTTCTTCCGCGCGGCTTTACATTGTTATTCATAACCTATCGCTGGCGCAGTGCAGGAGAAGCGATGCCATACCCCTTTGATTGAATTCACCATCAGTTTTCAGGCAAAATCCCGCAAGTGTAATCAGCCGTCTCGTTTCCTCTCGTCAACAACAGTATACTGTCTGGTCAATATCAATGTCTAAAATGTGGCTGACATTCGTAGCTCGCCGTCTGGGCATCGTCCAGTTTCCCGTTACATTTAGGTACGTGGTTTCTGAAATTTTACTCACTTCCCGTTTGATTGACTTTAAATTTAAATCTCATCAATGGTACGTCTCCATTTGCTATAATCCATGTGCATGATAAAATCTATACATATGGATATTGGTTTCAAGAGCAGGCGTTATGACAATGAACACCGGTGCGGCTACTGACAGGGTTTTTTATGTGTAAAGTGCTTTAGTAATAAATCATTTGATGTAAATGTTATATTTTGGAAGTTATTTTGGAAGGGTGTGGAATTTTATAATTTGAGTGAACGAAAGGTGTATATAGCTGCCTTGTAAAATGAGAATTAAATATATATTTATATAGTTTTTACTATATTTCTCACAAAATTTTATACCGTATCATAATTTTATAATTTTTACACCGCCATGCAGCAATTTAGCTTAGAAAAATGATAAGTAAGAACAGAAATTCAAATCAGTTTTCGGCGTAAACCTGAAATCAGGTCCAGTTACCTTGTTCCATGTTTAGTTTTAATATTAATCTCCAGCTTGGCTTGTTGATGTTGCGTGCAGGATGTTTGTTGCCAAGTACCGTCCTATTTCATTCCAGACGACTCTGTCAACTCGCTTGACGTCGAAATATTTTTAGAACACTAACAACCATGCCATAAAATCATAACCGAGTACGGTTTTTAATATATCAGGCATTTCCTTGTTTAGCAAATTGATTCAATTTTCCAGCTAGTTCACGGACGAGACTGAACGACGATGCCATCTAGTAAAGTACGTATTAGAAAACTTTTTTCCCAACAAACGTCTACGACAGAATCATTCTATTTTCAAACAAGCGCTAAGAATGCATGATTGGAAACAAACACTGACCCAGTTTACAGCAGTCAATCCAGTTGGTCATGGCGAAACATACCTTTGGCTTTGTCCTCGAACATTGAAACTGCAGACGCCGTCGTCGCAATCAAATTTCAATTTCAGGCAAATAGCTGTATGTCGCCGTTGATTCTTCAATTCAGAATCGCTTTCAGTCTTTCTAACGACAGCCCCTACTAATACCTATGGTGCACCAATACAGCCTGATATCTTGAACGCTTAAAGCCCTCCTCTCGTTTTCAGCGAGTGACTGAGGATTTTATCCGCTCCCGTGTAAATATTTTGCCTGCACTGCATGAACATGTACTTACATTCACTGTTTCAAAAAGTAACTGTCGATGGGCTGCCCCCCCCCAAAAAAAACCAACATTGCTGCAGCAACGCACATTACTGTTTTCCAGCAATCGGTGATTTCATATAACCTGTCAAGACCATTAGCGTGATACTTCCAGAGTGACATTACACTGCTTAAGGGTTAGCTTGATGGACAGTGTAACTTTAACTCACAGTTAGCATGAGGTAATCTCAGGTTTTGGCAGACTTGGATAAAATTTGATCAATCTTTCAGAGGAAGTGATCCCAGAATGTAGTGAGAATTTACCGTAGTTTGTCTGTTTTACCGTGTACCGTAGCATCCAATCGTTGTGATGAAAAATTGTAAACAAAAGACAAATAGGCCTAGTCCCAATGGTATCGGTATTGCCCAAAGACTGTGCTCTATCGCACAGCATTTTTTAAATTAAATTCAATTAAACCAACTGTGCTTTTAATGGATTACCGTGTTCATTATGTGGCTTGAAATCCGTGTATGTACTGGGTAGCAAAGTCTACCGAATTAATAACATTTCCATGTTTGGTCAAGTACAGCGTCCCTGCAAAACCATACCGATGTAAAGGTTGTGACGCTACATGACCCCCCTGCAATGAATTTTGTACGGTCGCGGAGGAGAGGAGTATGCCTTCCATTGATAGTGAAGTGTTGATACGAGGTTGTTTGTATGAGTGAGATGGTAATGGTCAGTGGGAAATGCCAAGGCGAAAGTGGATCCGTGCGAGTAATAATCATTAGTACCACACTCATTAATAAGAAATAATAACACAGTCGTGTCCTTCAGGGTAATGTGAATGTTTTTGTCAAAGCCAAATTGATCCCCGCCGCAACCAAAGAGGTGATGACAGTTTCGGGCTAGGCTTGAAAGATTAATTTAATTTAAAGTCAGTTTGCCCCCCCCAAAAAAACGTATTAGAATGCACATAAATCGACGAAAGCACAATACCTTGTCCCTGGAGTACCTTGCTTATGAATAGAGGTTGTGCATGCATGGCGGCCATCTGAGTCTTTTGTTCCGGAAAGATATCATGCATCATTAGTCGACTCTTTTGTGTTATTAATCCAAGACAAAAGCACTTACTTGAGAAATGGTTGCTATGCACAACCTTTACAGCAAAGTGTTACCGACATTTAACAAATGTGTATTGCGTATTTTTAAAAACAAAACAACAAACCCTTTCCTCTGACATCTGTGTTAAATCAGAAAACAAGACGGAACGAAAATTGCAGCCGCATGTCATTATTAAATCGTCACCGTTCTCACGAAGTGACGCTAATGTCCAGTTAGTTTTGTCAATTTTCATTTTTTTTTCAACATTTCCTTTAACAATATCGTTCTTGACCATTTTGACATGCTCCCACAAAGAAAACATCATTAATGCCATGGTTACATTAATGTTTTCAAGGTCAGACATCTTGAAAACAGCATTTTGCGTTTACACGAAGAGACGCAATGCATAACGTCCTTTGAACATGCACGAAATGTATTGCAAGGAAACGGCTGAAAAGTAGGTCAACCGGGATTTTCATTTTCACCAAGTGACGTCAGCTTTGTTACATTCACAGTTGTGCGCGCATAAAGACACGATCACCTTCCCTGTGATTATTATACATTGAACAGAAGGACGTTCATGTACAAAAACGTAATTTTCGTATTCACAAAGTGACGTTAACCTTTGCTAAATAATTTTGGCCAAATAACCCGTTTTCATACTAATTACTCGGGTTAAGTGAACGATCAGACATCAGAGAATCGTTTAAGGGATTTTTGTTACATGAAGTTGTCACAAAATACTAATTTTCTTAGTTTTTATAAAGGAAGAACTTCTCTAGCGATTATCTCGAAAACCTGTTTTTCCTTGGCAACACAAGCGAAACTTGGTGGTGGCGGTGACGAAATGACAAAGTGAATGCCGCATTGATCATTTCTGATCCATTTACAGTCCGAGGAGTACCAGGATTTCAAAATAACCAATTCCAAGTTAGGAGATCACGCATTTTATAGGCTGAGCATTGGGTAAGAACTTCGAACCCTGCTTATGTATGGTAGGCTGTCATGTTTAAATACATGAACATGCAAAGCTGACCTTTACACTTTGCAGTCAGTGAATTACATTGCTTGCGACTTGTCTTGAAGGTGATACTTGCACTTGAAATGGGTTAAATACTGAGCTGAGACTACAGAAATTGACATCAAAGGCCTAGACCGATGGTCGTTTATGGTAATTGAAAATAAATACTCAACAACAGTGGACGATTGCAGACGGCGTCTAAAGCTCGCTGGCTGACAGCAAATCGTTAGTCGCATCTGGCAAGTTGGCTTCAGCTACGGTCAACTTCAGTCTTCTTGCCTTTCCGCCACAAGGGGTCGTGTGCCCCCAGCGACCGTGCATAATGCATGTAAAGTGCCCATTTACAAAGTCTGCCCGTGTGAGAATGCGTTGTCTTTGACTTTGCTTGTCCCTGTGTGTCCGTGAGTTGGGAATCGTACAGAGATCAGTTCCGAAGGAGTGGGGAGGGTTTCTTGGTTTTGTTTTCTTTTCTTTTCTTTCAAGTCACGTTGGTCACAAACACCGTTGAAGCTATGCTTGTGACTTTATGAACAAGTAAAAGTGCACGCAGTTTTTTCCAGCTGTGCAGAGTATTTACAATTGTACTATTTAAACGTTCTAGGTAACTGTCATCATTTTAAAGCGGTACGTTGAGAATATAAAGCATTGGCTATCACAATGAAAACTGTTGATGTTCTCAAGCAATGGCAATCGCAGTATGGTCCATCTGTACCTGCGCCAACTCACCATTTCTCGGGTAATTAGATTCGGACATGGCCGAGGTCACTGCAGTGGCCGTCAGCGGGTACTGGTTATTCGTACCAGAGATGTTTTCGTCGTCTCCCTCGTCGTCGTGCAGGCGGAACCGGCCGCCCTTTTTCTTCGGCCTACCCCGCCCCCCGTTCTTACCGAACTTCCAGCGGCTGGCGTGGGAGGCCAGGCTGATCTCGGAGCGGCTGTCGCCGTCGCAGCACCACGCCTTCTGGAAGCTCTTCCGGAAGTTGTCGCTCAGGAAGGCGTAGAGGAGCGGGTTGATGCAGCTGTTGAGGTAGCTCAGTCCCATGCACATCTCCGTTATCACCATGCTGCCTTGCCAGCCCCTGAAGTCTTTCCAGTACAGCGACAAGAATCGGAACAGGTAGAACGGCCACCAGCACACGACGAAAGTGATGACAACGATGAGGACCATCCGGTTGACCTTACGAGACTTCTCGGGTTTGCCCGTCTTCTTGTTCATGTCCCTAAGGCGCACCATGATGCTGGCATAGCAGGCAATAATGACGATCAGCGGCACCACGAATCCCACGATGAAGAAATAAATCAGGAGATATCGGCTCATGGTAAACATCTGCCCTTCTGGGAAGGTGAGAAAGCAGTAAGCCGGATCGAATTCAGTTTCCTCGTGATATTGTGTGAAATAGATGATAGGGATCGCCGCTAGAATCGCCAACACCCAGATGCCGCTGTTCACAGCGGTGGCCACGCGGAGGTTCCGGAAGGCTCGTGATTTCATGGCGTGGCACACCGCCACGTAGCGATCGATGCTCATCGCCGTCAAGCAGAACAGGCTGATGAACATATTCATCCCGTCGACGCTGAAGACCACTTTGCACAGGACAGGGCCAAAAACCCAGCCCTGATCCTGCAAGCTGGCGACAGCCAAGAAAGTCAGGAAAATGAGGAAGAGGGTGTCTCCCATAGCAAGGTTCATGATGTAGCAGTTGGTGACTGTCTTCATTTTGGCGTAGCGCAAAATCACATAGATCACCGTGCCATTTCCGGCAAGACCCACGACCGTGATAAGAAGGTACAAGGAGCCCATGACTATACCGATTACACGAGTCACACTGTGGCCGTCCCCTTCATAGTAGGAGTTCGACCCGTTGTTATCTCTTCCCCATTCGGTCTCATTGATGGGAACGAGGCTGGTGTAGGTCTCGGTCACGGTATCAGCCATCGCGTGGTTGAGTCAGCCTGCCAAAATCCCCTCCAATATCAAAAACCAATTATTTAAGGGGAAAAGCAGAACTTGTCCCTCACCGAGATGAGGGAAGAATCCAAGACAATATCTGACAACTTGGATGAGATGTCAAGCTCTTAGGAGATGTATCGGTTGCCTATCCCCAAGCCCCAGGGAAGCACGGTAGCTCTCGCGTTTCTTCTCCACGGCAACACAAAACATTTGCGACTCGGTTACAGTCGCGAGTCGGCAGTCGTCACTCCACGCTGACAACCTCCAGCTAGCTACACGAGTTGTTGGCGAATACAAGCAGTGTCTCCGCCCGCTAAGGTTTACACACACCTCGGGTGCCGTGCACACGGTTGCAAATATAGCACTACGCAGCACAGCGCTGTTTGCAGCGGTTATATCAACCGTCCAGGGCTGGGGAAGAGGGTGGTGCAGTGAGGTAGCGCCACCACGGGCATGCGCAGGCGTTGGGAGCAGGTGCGATCAGCTCCGCACCACATACTACTGACGCAACGGTCCGTCATTGGGTGACCGTGTACCCGCAACGTCTGCCGCCGTTATATAAAACCCGTCGACGGCCGTCCCCGATGGCTGTGTTCCAGCGCTGCCTGCCGTTAACTAATAGGCCTTCTTCTGTAATGATAAGCGCGGCGAGCTTAAGATGTAAAGACTTTATCACTGTCAGACAGTCAGATATAGAAGGGAAAAAAGGCCGGTTTTGAAAAAAGTATCAAAGTAGACACAGGCTGCATATGAAAGTCCGTAGGGACTTGTCCGATGTCTGTGCTAGATATATCCAAGGACATTTTGAGAGTTACGTCCAGCTGTCCGAATCGGGCTGCAAATTACGAGGACTTTTCCCGCCAATTTCCCTCTCGCAACACTCAATTTAATTGAGGGAAAAGGTCAGTACATTAATTTACTCTAACTTTTTTTATTTAATTCCTTGGTTATTTTTCGCAGACGTCGATAGAGTGAGTCCCGCGTGTAATTAAATCAAGCACGGGCGGACAAACAGCAAAATCGCCTTGATTAAAAAAAGAGCGTGGCATGTGCGCAGGATATCGAGAGAACGATTTGACCACGCTTTACCACCTCGACCGTGCAGGCTCAATCGATCCTGTTTTACCCGTTGGGATTTTTTGCTGAATTTCAGATTAAAACCTTATCAGCAGAGTGATTTGTATGTCTTAAAGAATACCAAAAATGTTAAGCGATTGTGGTGTTTTGTGTCTGCTTTCAAAAGATACTCAACACGATCTATTTTTTCCTTTCTTTCTTTCATAAATATAAAAGTAGAAAAATGACAGTTCGGACCTTGGGCAGCTACGAAATGGAACCTGTCATTTGGTACGTGCCGTGCCTTGGGCACCCCCCACTTGCGCCCTCTGTTGGTAAATTTTCGTAGCAGGCTGTTTGTTTATTATTCCTCTGTGTGATGAAAAGTCGTCGACGAATATTTATTTTTTCCAGTACAGACCATTCTATTCACAATTTTCCCTTGCTCTCAACCAATAACTCTCGCGAAAAAAATTAAACGCTGAGGGCGCTGCTTGCCGATTCAGCTCGCAAAGTGCAGCCCCCCCTCGTTCCCCGAACTAATTTGTCCACCTTAATTGAACAACCCGAGTATCACCCCCAGAGCGTAGGCGTCCTGCTGCTCTTTTCGGTGGGCTTCTAAAGAGCACTTAAGGGTGATAGGTTAGTTCAACGCCCGGATGAGTATGAGAATCTTCCCGCCAAGAGAGCCCTGGAAGTCGGTACCAGCGCATACACACAACCCTTGATTCTCCATCCCCCCTCACCCACCCTGGGGTATGCTTTGATCCCCACCGCCCCTCTTATTGGATCGATGCCACTTCACGCGATCCTCTCTCCTCTGTCGTGTTTTTATTTTCATCAGCATCTGATTCCCGAGCCGATGGCCATGGGTTGACCAGGCTTGTTTGGTTTATTTTCCCCCCTTGCCATTCGAAGAGAAGTCAGAATAGCAGACAGCGGATTTAAACCCATACACCGATAATGGTTGGGGTGTTGATTGGCCTGTTTCCGTTAGTGTCTGACGCCATAATGGATCAATTGACCGGCCTTGTAGGTGCACGTGCCGGGTCATTTCTCCACCCTCGTTAAAGTTATGAAATGTCAATAAATATTGTAATTGGATTGGACAAATCATTGGACAACAGTACTCTCGGTGATGCTCATTTGGAGCCATTTTTCATCGTTGGAGGCGGTCTAGACACCTTTACATTGAAGTCACGCAGAGGAATAAACGGTACCTTGAGAGACCAAAACAACATCACAAGAAGATGCAAAGTCCAACTCGGTAGGCTCCTGTCAACGAGCCAGTGGATCGCCGAACAAACAGGCGAATACGTGTATTGTGGTAATGATTAAATTGACTCAATACATGCATACAGCACAACGGTTCAATAGCGAAGAGTTCAGGCCTTCAGTCGATGTCCTCTGAGGATTGTACACCACGCAAGGAATCGTGCAATGTCTATCGATAACATATTTACCACACGGAGCTAATGAAACCCTGCATGTATTCAGCAAATTACTTATGTTGTGATATTGTCTAAAGACAGAGATGCCATGATGGCACTTCAATTCCTTCCCAAAGAATTCTGGAAGAGCGTGGACGCAAGCAAGCTGATGTGAATTCCATTTTCGGCAGTTTTTTAAATGGCACTGGAGCAAACCGCATGATAAATTAATAAACAGTCAGCACAATCACTAAAACCTTTGTCCAGATCACTTGGACAGTAAACATTGCCAGTGTTAATAAAATGGCAGTTTCTGCGGTGTATTGCCACACAAGACATTTCAGATGGACAGATGGTCAGACCCACAGAGCTTTATCACTGACCACAGATTCGGAAGGATATACATTTCTTCATACTTGCAAAGTTAACTCTGACTTAAACCGTGGTTCACATCCACGGGTGGCACAAAAGGGGATAGGATGGGGTGTCACCCCCCCCCCCTCAGTCACGGTACTAATGATAAGAATGTTGAAGGATGGGAAAAGGATGGGAGAAGTCACTTAAGTGTCACGCAGGCTGAGGGGTCAGACTACCATTGCACTCGTGAAATTTGCCGACGGTCCAAATCGCAAATTTTAAGATGGCACCTCCTCCCCTCTTGGAATAGTCTAGCGACCCCCACGTTCACATCTTTGGAAATCTTTGGACTTTTTTTGTCACTAAGTTCAAAGGAAAGTCTAGATAACGATAACATGCAATTTTGTAAGCCTGGCGACTTGAGTGCTTTTAATCTCTGCATCTTTGACCTATGCTTTTCGGTTCGTTTACAAAACACCAATTGAAGTGACGCGTCGTGTATTAATCTGCGCAGTGGTAGTACCTTTATCAGCCTTGTGGATCAGCTGGAGGCGTAATGAGAATTATTTACTCCAGGGTGAGGCGTCCTGGGATCAGTGCGTGTCAGATTTGTGTTTTGCTGCAACGGGCATGCTCTCACGTCCGCTGTGGCTCGATACAATTTGAAATAGCCTTGTGTATTAGAAATAATAGCAAAATGAGAATGGGGGTAATCCCAGAACTTCCCACTGATGTATAAGCAGCTTTACAGCGATTACAGTACCTCCGGAGACTACTCAAGCAGAGCGCTTTCTTCTATCATTGAAAAGCAGCTGCTCACAGGAAAAATTGCTATTATAGATTAACACCCCGTGATAGACTTGTTTTTTAAGCTGCGGCGCATGCGTGGCTGTAGTGTATCCGTTTTCAATATCGATACTGGGCACGTTCTATGGGCTTTCAGCGTGTGAGTTTGCATGGTGGCTCAGCAATATCCCGCCAAAATTGATGAAGCTAAATGTCAGCATGTAAGTTATTCATATGAGCACAAGTCAGTAATCTTTGAGATTATCTTGGGGGTGATTCATTTTAATGCATGCACGTGGCATTTGCGTGTTATGTTATGACTTTTCATATATGAAGGTAAAAAGCTAGGTGATTAAAAGACATAAATCCAGCAGAAATAGCTCCCAAACAAGTACCGTAGAGATGCCTTTTGTGCTTTGATAACCAGCGTTTTAAAACAGAAGTTGTGGTTCCAAAAAAGTGTTTTGATTGTGTCAGGTCGATTGTCTCATGTAGTACTGCGAGCTATCTGGAATTCATTAGTTACAGGGGAAATGCTAACATTAAGGCCAATTTAGCTGCACAGTTATGTAATTTCTTATTGTTATTTAAACAAGGAAATGAGGGGAGTTTATAATGAGAGGCAGTGACTCTCCAAAATGGCGATGAGAGAATCGCCGTCAACGTGTTCATTCATGCCATTCCGCCGTGAACAGTTGATTAGGTTCTCCTGAATCAATAATGTCTTATTCTTCTCACTCAAAAGCTCAAAAGCTTCCAGGAACTGCGTGTTATTGCTTTTTTTTTTAAAAAAAGTGGAATCGTGAAGGTGTTTTGTTGTTATCCTTTCACACTTTCACCAACCACTTCAGGCGTCAATTTGTTGCAAAAAAGAAGCCACTCTCCGCGACGTGCAGTCCGTGGAGATTTCAAGATTTTTTTTGGTCCAGTTCTGCAATAAAAAAAAAGTGGGAGAGCTTGGCTTGGTGGAAGCCAGCCTTGTCCTCCTTACCCGTTTAGAATTCCCCCGTTGTTTCCTCGACTGCTCCCTGCAGCTAAAAGTTCCATCAGTACTCGAACTTTTTCTGTCCCCCTTCCTTTTCCCTTCCATCTGGAGAATGGTCTTGTTTTGTACGGTCTTTCCGGGATGAGTTTCGGGCCCGGAGATTCTTCCAGCGTGAAGAAACTCTTAATGTGTCTTCAGCAGCACAAGAAATCGGGTTAGACTCAACAATTTTGTTTCATCAGGGACCGGACAGCCCGAGGACATTTTTAGCCGGCGACACGACGTTGTCTTACGTGGGGGCTTGTTCCAACAGCTCTCCCCCGTCGAAAGCTCATCAATTTACCGCCTCTGCTCCAGTTTCTCAGTTTTTTCTTTCCTTCTCTCTCCTTTTTTTTTCTTTTTTTCGTGTGTGTTTCACGTTGTCGCGAACCATTCCCAGGCCGGGCTGAGAATACCCAACTGTGAATTGCGCAAGCGCACTCAAGCAGTTGGACGTGTAAATACGTCACGTGTAAGGAACTTGGTCTTTTCCTTTGTCAGTCACCGATTTCTTAACTATCTCATCTCATCTCCGGCCTTGATCTGGATTTCGACTATGGTTATTTGTCCTGGCCTTTCATGTTCCTGTATATCCTTCTTTAGAACCCCCATCCCTCCTCTCAAATCCCTTAATGCTAAGAACACAGAGACGCAGGAGTGCCATCGTGTGATCTTGCATACTGAGTTGACGGGCTTCGATGATATACAAAGCTGCACATTACAAACTAGGGCGTAGTAAGTCTTCAAACCAAGAAGCCTCACACTAACGTGAGTAGGGTTAGATTGGAGGGGAAACTTGGACCTCCCGGGGAAATGTAAGTCACTGTTACCATGGTATCAGATTTTAATAGCAATCTGACTTACAGTCGCAGGTTTTCTATTTTTTGTTTTTTTTTATGGAGTGATTTATTTTGGGGATTTGTATCAACAGCAAGGCGGCCATGCCTCAGCCCTGCGCGTTTTATAATGTTGCCAGGTTAGCAGGTTGCTCTCTGCGTTCTTCAAAAGAATGAAACAAGAAGACTATAAGATGAAAAACAGGGACCAAAAAATTATCACGTCGGTCGATTTCACAGTTATCTGTGTTTAGCTTCAATGTCTGATAACGAACCTGGTCAATTTATCTTGACTACTGATCGAGAAATTTAAATATAACTGAGAGTCGTTTACATGGGTAAGCCCTCGCGGTCTTAAATATGCCGTTGGTTTGGGCTTGTACAGTTCACTGTGTTCGGTACAAGGGGAAACCTGGGCTAATACACAAAAAATGCATGGCTGGATCGTCTACACTATGTAAGTCTTCAATTCCTTTCAAGAGAGAGTTGTACATCCTCGTGGTGTTAAATTGGTCACAGTTGTCTTGGCTGTGCAAAGATTTTTTGAAAATCGGAGATCATTTACAGATTTTGGAGAGGTTGGAAACGGAATACTTGGTCCTTTTAAGTGGTCGAATCGGAGTTGTGTATTTTGTCATCAGATGACGTCCATTCATCGACAGTATAACTGAAGATATGTCACTAGCCCCCGGGGAGCTTCGTGCTTCTGTCAGCAGCACGAGCAACTCCGGATCCCTTCAGACGGGGGCTTTCAGCGCCGAATCCCCCGTATCAAAAGGCATTAGAAGCACGCCAGAATCTTTGGGGTCGTCGCCGGAGGCGCACGGCGGATTTACCATTTAGCCCCTCTCGCGATCCATCCCGATATTTGGCGGGATTGGGAAGCCCTTTTTTATTGAAATTTAATGGAGAGCGGCCGGTCTCCAGGGAGCATTGCCGGGAACTTGGCGGCTCGCAGAATGGCTTAAAGAGACGATACATATTCAGCCAGCGATCAAAAATTCTTGACTGTTTTCCCACATTCACCTCTGGTGCACTTTCCCCTTCTAATGTATATACAGCCCCGTAGGACCGCGGAGCCTTTCTTCTGTGCATCTTGATCGTTCTTTATTAATGGTAAGGTAAAAGACAGATCTGAAAGCCGGAGGTTAAAAGGTCTGCCGGCTCGTGATACTTGTAATTTCTTGTGTGCAAAATGGCATGAATTGCTGTGAAACCAAAAAAAACCACCAGGGGAGAGGTAATGCTCCCATGTGATCTTCATCGGCAGCGCCAGTGGAGATCAGAACCGGCCGTGGCAGCTGGGTTATAAGGGGCCGTCATCAACTACAGCAAAGGACGTCGATAGCGTGCAGCTTACGTACAACACAGTTTCCAAATCTGTCGCTCTTATAGGTCAGTTGACAGCATTGTAAAAAAAAAACAAGCATCACTTGCAAGCAAGGTACAAGGACCATGTTCTTTAATTTCTTCTCTTGTTATTTCAAGTACCTAAGTTATCATTTCGGTGGCCTCTTTAATAGAAGATGGTATAAAAACTCATTTCGAGAGACCCATTTCCAGAGAACAGAGCCATAGCAACACGACAGCGCATCTTTTCCATCGCTTCTTAAAATGCAAATTAAATCACTCTAAACATCCCCTTGTATCCCAGCGGTGGTTAGGGCGTCCTTTTCCCCGGTCGTCGGGCTCAGCAACAACAATTTACACACCATATAAATCTAATTAGTTGGCCTCTGTGATAAAGTAGGAACGGCTGTTATATGGGTTAATTGGCATTCGAGAGTTACGCAGGCCAAAATTATTCGTTCATTTTTTTTGGGGGGAGGGAGATTTGGAATGTTCTCTTTTAACCTTTCATGATCTTTTCGAGAGTGAGGTTACACTTGGGGACATTTTTACACGAGGAAGGGAAATAAGATGAACAAAAATTTACGTTTATTTCATTTTTGTTCTAAAAATCTGCTAGTTTTCTGAGGGGCTTGGCCTTCTGGATCCAATGGCGAAAACGTGGCAAACAAATATTAGCGAAATCAGATCAAGCCAAATCAACTATTTCTGCCAAATGCAAACTTACCAACTGTAAGCCCTGATCACATTCACAACTGATCAAACCGTAGATCTATAACTGGGAACTGGGAATCAAACACACGTGACGATCGGCAAATACAACCTTACACTGTACACCATGGTTAAAACCAACCGCTTGACCGAAACCAGACATGAAATGAAACATTGGCAAAACGCGCATATTTTACCAAGTGGATGAGAAACATCCTAAACTGACCTAAATCCATTTCAGTTTAGGACATCCCGGTTGGGTGTTAATGGGGAAAAATATCTATCACACGGAAGATGTGTGCAGGGACCCAAATATCATAAATAATTTCCAAATTTCAAATTTGTTCTGGGAGTGGCTTCTTTCAGAGTAAATGTGGTTTGACTTTCAGTATTCAGTACTTTAGCATTTATTTCTGCAGTGTCCGTATTCAAATTACATGTAAATCTATGTAGGCCCATAGTTAGCAATGTCAAGTAGGCCTATAGATACTGCAGGGAATCGGAACCCATGAGGAAGCAAAGCTTTTTAACATGAGCACGTTATTAAACAATAAACATTACCGTAAATGGGAAATACAAAAACACCTTTATGTCTATTCTGTCCAAAGCTGATTTTTAAAACGTCGATTTGGGGTCAGTAGGATTTATTTTTATAATTTCTTGGCAAAAATACTTTTTATTGACCTAAACCCGCAAAAGTCGGGTAATCATTGCAAAACCTGGCAAACCACAACAAAAGCGAAGCCTAAATTTGGAGGGGAAAAATCGCACAAGAGGACACTTGAGGGCGCACTTATTTAAAATGGCGACAGTCGTCGCATCAGAAATGTTTATGTGCGGATTTTCATACGATGACAGTTTTGGGGACTTACCTGGTGTATTTGTGGGCGGAAGGACAGTCTGAAATAACTGAGTGTTCTTTTGTTAATCAGACATGAGTGCTTCGGACTTAAAGGAGCAGGGTAACCGGTTCTACGGTGCTCACAAATACGAGGAAGCAATCGCTTGCTACTCCAAAGCAATTGTACGTAACGTATATGTAGCCTAGGCCTACATCAACATGTCATGTCAATTTTTATTGGAACAAAAAAAATAGTACTTTAGTAGGCCCTAACGTGGACTGGTTCACGGCACGACAGAATATACATTTGGTATGAATTGTCCTAAGTATGAGCATCATCTGCTGAAGGGAGCCACCTACATGACCTAGTCTCCATCATGTCCGGTCCTTCCTCTTGTTCATTTTTGCTTAGGCCTAGTTTAAAAAATGCTGTGGCTGTTGTTATGGCAGCCGTAACACATCTCCCATTCTCTATCGTTATGGCACTGCAACTACGCAAGCGCGCCAACTTAAGCGCAGAGTTCGGACTTTATTTCCCTTTAAAAAAATCCTCCAAAGCCTCCAATGAGAAAAGAAAAAAGATACCTGCTTAGGCCTATACAATAAGACACCAATATAAAAAAAAAAACGATTATGGTATAAAACATGAGATTTAGGCAAAATAAAATAAATGGTCCAAGCACGGATTTGAACTCACACACCAGTGGTTCCATGCCTTCCACCTTGACCACTCGGCCACAAGCATTTAGCGATCAAGGTAATTTTAAAATATATAAACCGTCGTGATGATCAGCTATGTCATCGCACATGCACAGTTCAGTGCCGTAATGATAGATAAGGAGAAATGCGTTATGACTGCCGTAATGATAGCCACTTCGTTTAAAAAATCCTGTCGAATCAAAAAGTGTCATGCCTGAGTTAATTTTGTGTGATTTTGAATACATAACATGTTCCAGCAAATGTGTGGTATGTGGTTAATTTAACATGGTCCTCCCTTCATGCCTTCAAAACTGCTTGACTGCCCACAGTTAAAGAACCCTTCAGATGTACGTTTTTTCACCAACCGGTCGCTATGCAAGTTGAAGCTTCGGCGCTGGGAGGCGGCAGCAGCTGACTGCCGGGCAGCTCTAGAGCTGCAACAGAACAATGTCAAAGCCCACTTTTTCTTGGGCCATGCCCTGATGGAGCAAGAGTTGTATGATGAGGCCATCGCAAGTCTTTCAAAAGGTGCTCGGCATTTCTGTACTTTCTTTTTTGGCTTTTGCCCAAAACGAATTTTTTGTTCTCTGTCATGTCAGTCCCCCCAAGAAGAGTGTGTTCAGTTTTATATTGTTGTTTATATTTGGTTTTGTGTTGGTTTGGCATTTTTGTTTTTTACATGTTTTGGTTTATTTTATTTTAGGGGGAGCATCATTTCAATATAAGAAGTGAAGATGCTGGGTGCGATCAATCAATCAGCACAATCAGGGATCATGTTGCACTATCAGTCAATCTAATTGACCTGCTTTTTGTAAGCGTAGAATTTGTCGGGTGTTAAAATGTAGAGAAGAAAGAATTTGAGTTGGAGACCATCTGAAACTAACTGAAGAATTTATTGCATGAAACAGCTCAGGATCTTGCCAAAGAGCTGAAGTTGAACTATGGAGATGATATCGCCGGTACCTTGAGGCAAGCCAAGAGAAAGAGATGGTCGTTGATGGAGGAGAAACGGATACAGCAAGAAATCCATCTTCAGTCGTTCCTCAACAAGCTCATCGTAGAAGACAAAGAAAGGTCAGGAGGGGGACATGTGAACTTTGTGGAAAAGAATATTTTTTTATCCTTGTGGGAGTTATTGTTTCTGTTTATACTGACCCTTATCTTGGAAGCATTTAGATGGATAATTCTGACAATGCATTGCTCATCTTCAAGTGTATGGTAGAGGTGCTGCCTACATCGCACTCTGACTGGCTCCCTGGTGGGCTTGTTGACAGACTAACTGAGAGACCGACTAGCTGACTGCCCAACCAGCAGCCCAGGCAACTGTCTGATCAACCATATGACTGACTGGCCTTCTGACCAACTTTCTCACTGACTGTCCGACCTATGGTGTTCCACATGTGCCGTCTGGTCGGATTTTTTAGCCGGTGTCGCATTTTAGTTGGGCGTGGTATTTTTCAGCCGGCGTCGCATTTTTCAACAGGTGTCGCATTTTTTGACCGGCATTGCATTTTGCAACCAAAGTAGAGACACTGCTGCGATAAACTCTCCCTCAGGCAGCAATGTGGAGGCTTGTTTCAAGGAAATTCAAATGAAAAGTGATGAATCTTACATTGATTCAAAAAGTACATTATTCATTAATCAATTTACAAGGAATAGAAATTTACAACAGGGCATGAAGTATTGTTCATCTCTTAAATCTTGGCTGGAGATACTCCCAGATGTGAGAAGCTATTATAGTGATCATAATGTACAATTGTGTGCATTATTGCAACTGATTTGGTATTGTTGGTATTGTTCATCAACCATCTGCCGGTCGGTACCAGATATTCGATCAAATTTAAGGTCGACTATTCAAATAGTGAATTATTCAAATTGACTCAGCCCTACCACATACACACGCGCATAACACACATATACCATAGCGAACCAATTTGAACAAGGCAGTGTTGCATCTGCTTCCATCACAAGTCCAGTCAGGAGTCCAGTCACAAGACCAGTCCTAAGTAACAGCATGCACAATGACAGAGGAACGCTTTTGTCACAGTTCACTGAATAGACTAACTTGTAGCATAGCTTAAAATTGGATGATTGTAGGGGTATGAACGACCCAATTGCAACTCCGGAAGAGAGGCCCGACTGCCGATTATTAATTTTTTTCTCTGTGTCTGTTCTTTGCAATGTACGGGTCTGTAGTACAGTGCGTTCATAGCTGATCATAGCATGACCAAAGATAGTCATTCTTGTATCTGAGCACTCCTTGCGGATTATTGCATTTCCAGAAAAAAAGCCGAGCTGAAGCTGGACAAGGAAAACGAAGATTCCAAGGAAGATATTGAAAAGAAGAAACAAGACGTGGAGGCAGATTATGTGAGTATTCCTCCGCAGTGTTCTAGCTAGGACCATTTTAGTGCCGGGTAAATTTTTGGATTACAAAGCATAGTGAGTGCAGTTCTTAATGCTTTCTGATGCTTGAAATACGATCGAATTGGTACATTTAAATTTTCAGTAATATTTCAGTTCAGTTTTGGAAAATCTGTGCTGGGCGGCACAGCCATTTTCAACCCTGAGTGCTGGGCGGAAATTTGCAGTACCGGGTGGTGCCGCCCGGCACCAACCCCCGCAGCTAGAACCCTGTTCCTCTGATATGGAGGTTACTTACTTGCATGCAGTGAGCGCAGACTTCAGTGTTGTAATCAAGTCATTCTTCAAGTGAAGTCACAAGTCATTTTTGAAATTTTTTTTAACTTCCCGTATTGATGGTGTCCCCCATAATGCTTTGCAAATCAGGTCTGACCTACATGTACAAGTATCTGCCTTTTTTCTATCATAATGATATTTTTTATATTTTTGATGATAAAATGTAGTATATGAAAGGAGACAGGTTTGCTTTTGCATGTGAAAAGTTACACATACATGTACATATACTTTTTATTTGTACTTGTTTCAACAAAGGTTGGTCATTTCAACAGGTCAAATTTATTCATATCAAGTCACTAGGCACTCTCATTCCAAGTCGAAAAAAAATTGGACCTGAGTCTAACAAGTCCGAGTCAGCAATTCCAGCCAATAGCTTTGCAAAACCATAATGCATGTGACGTCATCTCTCGGTTTCTTCCCCGAACTAACTTTCTTAAGTAAGCTGTTTCTCCCTCAATTGTCCAGAAAATCCTGATATTAGCAGAGGCTAAGGTTATATATACTTCCTGGACTCGACCTTTCTAGTTAGATGAAGCTATTTACCAGGGAGACTGTTGAAAGGTCCATATCATTACCCCTTGTGTGCACACAGGTGGTAACCCTCACTTTCCAGTCTCTGTTGGCAGGTCGTATTGCCTGTAAACATAAGATGTACCGGTACCCATCAATTCTGTCAGTGCTGGTGTTCCAGCACTTACATCTGCCTTGTTGCACAAATGTGAGCCACTCTGTGAAAACGAGTCTTAAGTCGCCAGAGCCACTTTGGAGTAAAAACTCCTTTAGAATAATTTGCGCAATGTAAATCAATAGGAACCCACAGCATATTTAACCACGGAGTATCCACTTTCATCAAGATGCCAAACTGAGTGATACATCAAAACAAAAAGCTCAATTTGCTCTTTCCAATACAGATGAAAACTCAAAAAGTGGCTCTGGCCACTTGTGACTCATTTTCGCAGAGTGGGTCACAAGTGACCTTTCAAAGAGGCACATGTATGTTTAGGTGTAATGAGCGGTTCTGGAAAATGGATGAAACAGCAACTCATGCATGGTTTTGGAAGTCTGGCAACCGCTGTAATCACTGTAGAATTAAACGAGGGAAATTTGTTATGAGTGTAAAAGCACTTTGAACTGTCTAACAAATGCATCCATGTGCAGGCAGTGATAGAAAAGTGTGAAGGCATGCTCATTGGTGCTTGAATAGCGGCATCGGGAAACACTCTGCACTTGTGTATACATAAACAGGTAGAGAGTTTTATCTATACACGCGATCAGTTTCCCCAAAAAGTATCTGTCAGCGATATCCAACGGCCTGTAAAATATGATGCTGCCGGTGCGCATTATAGCTAATCTTTATTCTAACAATTGCTTCGCAGAGAGAAAAGAAAAAAAATCTACAGTGTGTATTTGTTGATGTGATTGAGTTGAGTGCGTTTAGGGGCCACCAGTGCTTAGAATCAATAAATAAGATTGGCGTTAGATTCAAGTCTCCCAGTCTGAGCAGATGTTGGATATCAATCAACTTACAGTGCATTTAATTTAACTGTGCAGTAAATGATTCATTAAACACTTACAATAAAGTAAACAAAGGAATGGTTCAAGGTTGTAACCCGATGAAAATTATTATACTGAGGTTTTTCTTCAGTATGCTGGGTCCTTGTCTTTTTTTAAAGCAATTTTCAGTTTGATTGCAATTGTTTGCCATGAAGTCAGCCACCAGCTGGAAAACAGTACTTCATGTTCGTACGGTATTTCCATTTTCCGTTTGAAAATTTTGTGGAAAAACAAAGCCAAACAAAGCAAATTGGAGAGTGTTTTTAACGTCTTTCAGTTTCATCAGAGTGGCAAGTTTTAAAGTTTTCGAAGATACTGTGGCATAAAAATAATCATTTCGCTTGTGTAAGGAAGATATGTGTAGTTTTGGTACGTCAAATGCTGCACTTATGCAAAGTGCAGTCATTATTTGGGGCTTCAATTTCATTCAGGGGATGTACAAACAATCCTGACGAGCATGGTGTCTGAGATCCAACCTCATCCAGCATGGACAGTTGGATAACCACAGACGTGGTCCAGAGACGCTGCTGTGGACAGTCTCTCAGGCAATTCTCAGCCAGTAAGAACTTTACAGGTTGTTAATACAGTCGGTATTTTGTCAAAGTTCACATTTGCCCAGCGGTCATGAAGTTCCACTTATTTTAGTTTCCCCCCAAAATCAACCTCAGTGGAGTTTAAGAATGTCTGAAGAGGGCCTGTGTATGAGGTAACCCGAGTCAAGAGGAGAGGGCCTGTTCTTTCTCTTTGATGCATTCTGTCATCATTCTCAGAAATTACTGAAGCACCACAAGTACAACTTGTTGTTTGAACCTATTGATATTCACTCATGTCAGTGTTGAGAAAAAAGGCAGGCGTGCTTCATTGGAATGCAACAGCCTTCGATAATTGTTCCACTGCCGTGCAGAAGGGCAGGGAAGGCGTCACGGTGTCTGGCTGGGCGATGTTGTACTCTGCATGTAACTGATCCCCTCCTCTTGATCTCATATGAATAAGTGAATGTATCGGTCATACTCGTCCCCTACCCCCTCCCCCCCCGCTCCCCACCCCTTGATACATGACAAGTGGGACATTCCCCTTTATTCCAACTCTGTCTCTCCAGGGGTGTTAGGTGACACCCCGGAGGTGAACGACTGAGTGTGACGGGCACTGCATTATGCATGAACACTCCGGCAGTAGCTGTTTGGATTGTTGTGTCTCTTCAGCTGAGCAGGATGTGTAAGCTTGAGCGATGGGGGAGAATATCTAACACGGCTTCACAAAGACGACCTTTTCCACGCTCCATCAAGAACAGAGTGGACTACTAACCCTGACCTAAGGCTTTGAGTTTACTGCGAATGAGCCAGAATCTGCCACAAAGTAGCCCAAAGGCATTTTTTTCTAGGAACAAAATTGGAACAGGCTCTCTTTTGTCTGAGGATCAAATACGAGTATTTTGTACCACAGTCCTGCAACAAACAAACAAACAACCCAACAAACAAACAAACCCAGAAACCTGTAAACCTGGCTGTGGACTTGGATGTACTTACTGACGTTGTAGCTAAGAAATGCAACAAACGTCAGAAGCATTTCAAGGATATTACTTTCCCCAGAAACATGGTTAACCACTTCCTGCCGGGGACTCCGGAATCGGAGACGTATGGTTTATATGTGTGGCCGGGGTCTCCGAACTCAGACAAAGGAAACAGGGCCCTGNTCCGACATTTTTCACTCTCAAAAGTGGTGATAATCCAGCCTTGGTTTGAAACCATATACCAGGGTTTGGGGCATTTATAGCATGCGGATTACCACCGGGGACAAAAGCGCTCCACCACCGCAGCAATGAGCCACACAGCACTGCTGCACTCTAATCTGGCCCCTATTGAGAAGAGGTCAGCAGTGCACTGAGCCAGGTTCGTGAACAAAAGAAAGTTGCATAACACCGCACAATCTGGGCTCTGTTTACAAGGCTGCAGGCCTGGCTGAAATACTCGGGCATCAATGAAGGTCACCTGTCAACTTGGAGTAGTGCCTAAAGATTACCTCGTGCAGCTATAAATGACCGTTAAATGAAATGATGAATTTTTGAAGGATTTTGAAAACGGAAAAAATGATAGTCATGCCGGCCCAGCATCATCAACATTGAAAAATGCCCCTGCATGAATTGGTTAATGTGAATTTCCTCATCTTCACATTTCTTGAAACCCTACTCCCTGGGCATCTTTTGGTCACACAAAGTGCATGCTGAACCCTGCAATATTTTAATGCTCCCATGTAAAACTTGGATGCAACTTCCCACGTCTTCATTTTTGTTTATACAAACCGTGTCATGGGTGTAAAGACAAATGGCCCGTCTGTACACACAGCTATGGATAACAGAATGAACTGCCGCACATACTTTGACTTGCTGGATGTTTCAACATGCTAATCACCCATTTGTGTTTGTACATGTACACGTACACAAAATCATGAAAACCAAGAAGCTTTTGGAGGCGGACCATGTGTTGAATTCCATTTTCTCACCCCAGAATGTTAGACAAAATTTAAAAATGAGGTTGTGGTAAGAACTGTGGCACAAGTACTGTTCAAACGACTCTTGTGAATCAGCACTTGTGGCATTTGGCTTTACTGTTGAAAATTGGCGCTTAGATCTTCCCTTTTTCTTTAAGTTGAAATTTTTGGCCAAAGATATTACCCGCTGCAAGTGGTTTGTGTGTTCTTTCGTGGATGTGATCATCGCTTCCATCCTTCAGAATCCTCCAGCACTAAACTGTCAAAATGTGGAGGCGGCATGAATGACATCATGGAGCCATACAGATGATTTGTAACCCAATTAGAGCGTTATTTATGCATGGCTGAGCAAGATCTGGCCCGAAACTTTGATGCAACCTATCTCTGTAACTCAGCAAGTAGTTTTTGTCACATGCGTGTCATCTTACTCCTCTGAAATCCTCTTTTTATACACGGAGGATTCAGGAGGGTTATAAATTACCCCAAGTGTGTGTGTGAAGGCCATATGTTAAAGCAGTGAGCCGAGAAAGGCCATTCTCAGAAGCAGTTTAGCCTGTCATTAAGATGACACCTTTTTCTCAATTCATCAGTAGGCGTGTTGGAAATCAAGGGAAGCCAATAAGGAACACTTATTATTTTTCAATCCTCTCGCAATTTTCCCTCGTTATATCACTACAGACACTTGTTTTTGACCCCTCCATTTCTTGGAATATTTCCTGAAATGGCATTCTAAGTAACTTTGCATATGTAGGTCACAAATTTTTGTCAATTTATTCAACAATAGATTCGTCAGTTACTTATGTTTCTGGGTAGCCAGTTAGTTTGATAGGAATCCAGTATCTAATTAATCAACTGACGAATCAGTCAGATCCATTGATATATATATATTTTATAAAATCACTTTCCTCAAAAAATGGAGGACTCAGAAGAATTTGGTGATACCCAGATAGGACGAGGCAGCTCAGGTGATATTGCAAGTTTTTTAAAGTTCAAATCCAGCCCCACTTTTGATTAATTGATTTCCGTTTTTATTTTTCTTTTGCTGGATTTCAGGATCAACATGTGAAGGAACTGAATGAACTATTTGCTACTGTGGACGAAAGGCGAAAAGTAAGTTGGCTTTTCGTCCGACCAAGTTTACATTTCAAAACCTTGTCGAACACAGCTTATCCTGTTGTGATTTCCCCCAATCAGAACAGGCCAATCCATCACATGCAACATTTACCTGTATGAATTCTTCAAGCGTTCCTGAGGAGACGGTGTCATCCTGTTTGGCACAGCTACAGTGGACCTCACACATCAACCCCTTGCCATCTTACGTCTGAAGTTGGCCGTTAAAAAGAATCATATCAAATCAGTGAAAATACCTGTAATCCTTGAAAACCCATTCCCAGACTTTGCAGTATTTTGTGCGCGTGGGGCTTGGTGTGGATAGAATATGCCAATAAATTACTGATAGGGGTTTTTTTTCAGAGACCTGGAAAGCCCCTTAATGCCTTTGGATTTGTGCTTAGAAGCACACCTGAGTTAACCCTTAAACTTGATCCCAAAATGTTAATTTAGGGGAGCTCACTGTGCACTCCAGACAGAGAAAAACTAACAAGCCAAACATCATAACCCAGTTTGAATTCCTTCATAGGAGTCTTGGCAACCTATATTTCTTACTGTTGCTTTAAAAGTTCAGTTATTAAAAGAATCTTCAACTTTTAAAAGAGTCGTCAAATGAGAGATGTCTCCCTTTCCACATGTGTCATCTGAAGTACCGCAAAGTGTTTTCTTTCGAGCTGGTCCTGAGTGACCCACTTTTAGCCCCATTTGTCTGGCCCGCTGATAAGAAATCAAGGTTGGTTCGCCGAACCTAATGTTCCCGGTGTCACTTTGATGTTTTAACAATCTGTGAAACTCAAATAAAGGAGGAGATTCCTCGTTTCCTCCTGATGTTGTCGCGGGCGGCTGCCCTCAAAGACGGGGGAGCCTTGTTTGTCGACGGCAATGGGGGTGAAGCACTCGACACACAACTTCCCGGCGCAATCGCGGGAACCACTCAGGACTGTTTCCAGAGATAAAGGGAAGGGAGGCCAGTCTCCAGTCAACGTAAGGTTAATGAGTAATTGGGGCACATATTAGCCAGACCGGCATATATCCGCACTAATCACAACATGGGAAGACAAATAAGTGATTAATAACGTAGATTGTCACATTGTCGGAGACATGGTCAGAGAAATTTGCCCGCGATCTCGCAAAGCAACACTAGTATCCGTGTTACCATGTTAGATGTTGCCCCCCCCTCCAACAGAACCAGTAATTACACAAACCCCCGTTTGACAATTAATCACAGTGTGGGTGCCAAATCGAACCAGATGATTCCCCGTGTGGTTTGTCTTTGTTCAAGTGTTGTCTTTCGCAAGTGAACGTTGAGCTCACAAATGAGTTCAAAAGTTACTAGCAACTGGTTCACTGCCTTGCTGGGAACAGCATGGTGTTACTTTGCGTATTGTGGAAGAGGTTAATGCAGAGTCATCATTCAGAATTGAATGTCCAGAAGTTTTCAATACTGTCTTGTAAGGCTGAGATAAATACTGAAATAAAAATTACCGCTAATGGGTCATTAGGGAGACATTCCCATAAGAACGTGCACAAAATTTTTCCAACTTTACTGTCCTATAATTCAATATTCCCTAATCTGATCTGAACCAAACTTTGTATGTTTTCATTTTAGGCCCTAAACTATCATTTCTCAAAATATGGACAAGTAAAATTTGGCCTCCTT